TTTTAATTTTAGTGAATATTTTTTCACAAATATTTTACTTTTTAGATACATCTAAGTAAGGTGCATCTAAAAAAGTAAAAAAAATGTTTAAAATTTTAAAAATATTCACTAAAAACAAAAAAACACGAAAATCAAAAAAATCAATTTTCAAAAAACTTAATCCAGAAACCTCAAACCAAACACACTGATTAGTGTTGGCCATTCATCTACTTTTTCAATTTTGGAAACCAATCGCACCAGACAAAGCAAAGAGGCACAAAATCAAGCAGCTAACACCAAAAAGGGTAAGTTGATAGTTATTATTTGGGGCATGTTTATAGTTTTCAATTAATATTAGAGAAATTAATTTTGTCCTTAACTTTTTTTTTTTTTTAATAATTTAAATTGTTTATATTATAAAATTTATTAAATAAATCATTTGTATAAAAAATTAAATTAATTAAACATTTATAACTCTATAATAAGAGTATATTTATTTTTTAAAAAATTAATAGTTAACATGATCTTGATAACTTTTTAAAAATAAGATAAGCTCCGCTCCATATCTTATCTCTTCATATCTCTCCATATTCTTCTTGTAATTTTCAATTTAGACCCGCATCGATGATCTGAACCGTCTATCTCGTAAGTCCTACAATAAAGGTCATTCATGAAAAAAAATCAATTTTATTAGAAAATTATAAATATAAAAATATATTATATTTTATTTTATAAAATGAATAGTAAATGTAATTAAATTTAAACCATCTATTTTATAAAATAAAATATGATTTGTTCCTATGTTTATAGTTGTCCGATAAAACTACTGTTTTGCATGTATAATATTTATTGCAGGACTTACGAAATAGACGGTTCAGATCATCAATGCGGATTCGAATCAAAACCCATAAAAAGAGTATGGAGTGGTAAGGAGAGATTATGTAAGGAGGAAAACTTATCCTTTTTAAAATAATTAGAATTTAAGCATAGGGTTATAAATGTCAAATCAATTTAATTTTTTATATGGATGATTTGCTCAATAAATTTTATAGCATAAACTGTTTGAATTATCGAAAAAAATTCTAAACAAACTCCCACGAAGTCTCACAACAACTCATCGTCAACCCTTTCATATGTTTCAAGTGGGTGTTTAAGGTTTGTTTATTTGATATTTTTTTATTTATTTTTGTTTTTTTATAAAAAAAAATTAGGCTTCTAGATTCAACTATGCAAGATGAATTGAAATTTTTTATAAAAAAAAATCAAAGAAAAAGTACAAAAGAGTAAAATTAAGTCAAAAATAGTAAACTTTTTAAGTTTATTTTGGCTTTTTTATTTTTTTTATAATTTTTTTTAAAAAAATTAATTTTTAGATTCGTCTATACAAAATAGATTGAAAAAAAAAATTTGATATAATTTTAGAAACAAAAATTCATAAAAATAAAAAATAAAAAACGAAGTGACGTATTTAGCACAAAATAAAATTTGGAATGCCCAAAGCATTTCACTTTTGGAATAAATAAATAAGGAAAGACAGAAAAAAAAAAAGACGAGGTAGACTAACAGTCTTTATAATTTACGATTGGTGTTACTTTGATTTCTGACTTTTTAATTGTAACATATTTGATCATAAATTTTAAATTTTATTCTAAATAAAGACAATTGAAGATATCATTAGTTAATTTCAAAAGTAAAGTCGTTAATTTAATAAAATATAAATTAAATTGACAAAAATAATTTCAAAAAAATATTTGGTGGGTACAAAAATTTTGACTTTTAGAAAAATAAAAATTAATTTAATGAAAATAAAAACAATATCTTATTACATAATCATTATCCAAATACGTAATAAAAATTAATTTAGTAAAAAAATAAATGTGTAAAAAATTTATCAATTTTATATAGTTTTATATTTGGTGGGTAAAAATAATTTTAAAATTTTAAAATATTTTTTTGACATTTATTTTTGTCAAATTAGTTTATATTTTATCAAATTTGCGACTTTGCCCTTGAAATTGATTAATGATATATTCAATTGTTCTTATTTGAAATAAGATTTAAAATTCAAAATCAAACGTATTATAATTAAAAAATTAAAAATTAAAATAATATAAGCTCCAAACTATAAACAACTTTAGTGTTATTCAGAAAATAAA